CACCCAAGTCCATAGGCAAAAACCTATCAAAAAAAAAAAAAAAAAAAGAGAGAGAGAGAGAGAATTGCTACGTTTTGTCAAACACCTCAGGATTATATTCCTGACAGATTGTCAAACGGGGGTCTTGGGCCACCTTTTTACTGATGGGGACAACCTGATGTCAAAATGGCACCCTGACCTTGGCTGACATTTCCAGAGGCCTGTGCTTATCTGAGACACATGCACTTTGGACAGCTGGTCCTGAACGTGGCTTTTTAGTGCTGTTCCCAGTTACTAATTGTATGTCTTGGTCCCCACGTGGCTCTGCAATCCCAACAGCTCCTCGAATGACGTTAGATATGTCCCTGCACAGGTCACTGGCCATGACCTGGGGCTCCCTACCCGTCCTGGGCCTGGTGGGGACATCGGCCACCACCCTGGCACGGGGGCCGCTCTCGGCATCAGCCCGAATCTCGCCTGCAGAACCATGGCACGACTTCCGCTCCCGGAAGCCCCAGGTGTGTTTTTCAAGCCGCCAGGTCTGGGACTCGTACTGCAGTCGGCCATGTGGGGGGTTCCACCACCTTAACTCTCACAGGATCTTTGACCAAGAACAAAAGTTTTTAACTTGATCAAATCCAATTTGTCCATTTTTTTGTGTAGTGAGTAAGCTTTTGCTGGCATATATGTAGGAACACTTCAACTACTAGGTCCCAAAGACTGTCGTCTTACCTTTTTATTTTTCATTTATCCCAAGAGTGTGAGAAAGACAGACAGGTTAACAGCATTCTTAGCAGGTCTTGATGGTGCAGCCCCCCACCTTCGGCCAGCCTGGCCCATGGGCACACACGTGCTAGGGCAGGCAGGGCGTCTCTGGACTTGGACCGGGAGCCCCCCACGTGGGACTGCACCAAGCACCGTGTCCTACCACTGCGCCTCTGTCCGGCCCCTGGAGCCAAGGTTTCTTACCGTTCCCCAAGTCCGGAAAATTGCAGCCCTTTTATCCTCAAATATGGCGGCTCTCCCATTCTGTTTCTTCTTTATGTTGGACCTCTTGGCTCCGTTTTTCTAGTTCCTTACCCTCACTT